GCTGGGGCTGGCGCTGGCGCTGGCGCTGGCGCTGGCGCTGGCGCTGTTGCTGTTGCTGTTGTTCTTCTTCTTCTTGTTGGCGGTGGTGGTGGTGGTGGTGGTGGCGGCGGCGGCGGCGGTGGTGGGTGGTGGTGGTGTCGTTGAGGTCCGTGTTGTCGTCTTTGTCATTGTCGTTGTTGTTGTCACACATCTTCAGCACGCCCCCTTCTACGGCGCTTCCCGTTCATCATAATATATCTTAAGCGCGCTCCTCATGTGGCGCTTCCGGTTCATCATATACCTTAAGCACGCCCCCCTCCCCCCATTGGGCGAGACCGCTTCACCACATTATTAAACACCCCCCCGCACCACATATCTTGAACACACATCCTCATTTGCCAATTGCGGTTCTTCACTTTCGCTAAGCTGCTAAACCCGCCCCCCCTCCCCCACCCAACTTTTCACAGACCCGCTGCCGCGGCAGGGCTGAAAAAGAGAGCCGGGGGTTTGGGGTGGGCGCACCCCCCAATTTTCAACCACAATGCTGCTTTTGCTGGCAGGATGTCATTTTGAAGCGAACTTACACAGCGGCTTAGACAAGCACACACACACACACACACGCACACAGACACACACACGCACACACACACACACGTACGTACTTAACAGACACTTCGGATAGATTGTGTTGTTGCTGTTGCTGCTGTTATTGTGGAGCATGTATATTAAGCGCGTCAAATCATTTGTCGATTCCAGTTCATCATAATTAATTACGTCTTAAACATGCCCCTCATTTGGCGCTTCCGGTTCATCATACTTCGTGAACACGCCCTTTCATGTGGCGATTCCGGCTCATCATATAATATGTCTTAAACACGCCCCCTCATGTTGCGATTCCGGTTCATCAAGGATCGCAGCAATCTGTAGTCTCAAACCCGCAGTCTAAACCTGAAACGGAACTCCTAAATACCAAAAACCTATACCTTAACTCCTAAAGCCTAATCCTTTAATGCCTGCATCCCAAGCCCCAAAAGCCAAAACGTAGTCTGCAGGGCCTGGCGTTCGTTCAGCTCGATCGCTTTCACGGTGCTGGCAGTGAGGCTCTGGATCGTTGCCGCATCCTTCGGGGATTCAGGTTCAGGGTTTAGGGTTAAATTCAAGGATCAGGGGACTCAGCAAGCACGGTCATAAGCTGTCAGTGACAACACTGGTCCATCAAAGCCTAAACACGAACTGCCTCAGCCTCAGGACCCTGCACAATTCCGATTTCCAAAATGCTGGCACGACGACGACTTGACTCCTGCCCCTGCGCCGGCCCTGACCGCATTAGAGTCAGAGTTGCTCTGCGGTTGGTGCGCTATTACTGCGATTGCTGCGAATGGCACTGTAACTCCAGGTGCATCACATCGATAAACAAGCCTAAACTTGCTAGCATGGTTATCTAGGTCTTCACGCCAAATTCTCATCCTTGACCATCAAGTCAACGAGGGATCCGCCGTGCGGAGCACCAGCGAAGGTGGTGCGAGTATGAATACCGCACTCCGTCTTCGCCTGACGCACGACATGAATGAAGGCAGGAAGCCGTCCCAACACTCGCCCAAAGGCTCTGAACCTCCAAACATCGAAACCTCATCTCCTGCCTTCATGGACATATGACCAAACCCTAAACCCCCAAACCCTAAAACCCAAAAGCCCCCTCCCCTCGCCTGGCGCACGAAACGGCCGGCGCGCTCGGACTCATGGGGCTCCACGGGCACGGTGGTGTGCCTGGGCTTCAGGGCTGTAAGGGTTTAGGGTTTAGGGTTTTAGGGTTTAGGGCTTAGGGTTTCAGGGCTGTAATAAGGGATCCTTAGAGGGATCCTTAAATAAAAGGGATCCTATAAGGGATGTAGGGTGTAGAATTTTAGGGTTTAGGGGTTTAGGATTCAGGGCTTTAAGGGATCCTTCCTAACGACTTCAATATCCCGAAAAAGTAGGATCCCAAATACGATTCAAGGTATACTCCTTAATTAGTAATTAAGGTATATTGGAGTCTCTGGGCTAGAGGGATCCGTAAAGGGGATCTTTAAATAAAGGGATCCTTAAACGGGATCCTATAAGGGACGTAGGGTGTAGGGTTTAGGGATTTAGGGGTTTAGGATCCAGGGTTTAAGGATTTTGGGGTTCAAGGTTTAGGGGATTTAATGGTGGGTTCAGGGGCTTAGGGTTCAGGGTTTAGGGCTTCAGGGGCTTAGGGGATTTAGGAATCATTAAGTAAGGGTTGCTTCTAACCCGAAGCTTCGACAAGCAATGAACTTAAACCTGAATCTGTTTTTACTTTAAAGCAGAAAACAAAAAACAAGCAATCACTAGACAGCAGAAGGCCCTTGTGAGCCCTGAAAGCCCAAAGCTCCAAGCCTCAATCCTCGAATCCCAAAACCAGGAGCTCAGCGTCTCTCTTTGGCTTTTTAAGGTTTAGGGGTTTAAGGTTTCGACTCACACACTCGCTCTCGCAGGCATGGCAGGTTACGTCCCAGCTTTAGGGTTTAGGGGGTTCAGGGTTTTGCAGCTCTTTAGGTCCTTGAAGGGATCTCAGCTCCCTGGCCTCCGAAGCGCCTCCCGAAGCCCACATCTCTCCGTGACATCACTCACCCCCAGAGGAACTCTTTAAGGCTTCGGGTTTCGGGCTTTGGGTTTAGGGGTTTAGGGGCTTTAGGGTTTAGGGCTATGCCCCTGAAATGGCTTCAGGAAGTTACGCTTCTGAGGGCGGCGCATGTCACCGAAAGACTTGAAGACATAGGTGATGGGCGCTGCAGGGCTTCCCTTGATCTCCGCGTCCGTGCATCGCCAGAAGGGCTTTCCCAGATCCACCTGGCAGGGGCCTCATGTTATTTGGGTCTATAGTCGTTTTCCCATAAATAGGGTTTAGGGTTTAGGATGCGGAAGGCAAGTTGTGGGCGATTTCTTGATATAAGGCGAATATAATGTCTGTAGCCCTCCAACTCCCCTATGGGAACAGGATTCCCATCAGGAACGAGTAGAAAAGTCTCATTTTAAACGTCCGCCGATGCAAGCACTGTAGTATCTTGGCGTTTATGAGGCAATTCCAGTGCTGTTGAAGTCCCTGTCTCCCCCATACTGCGGTAGCTTGTCTTCCGCGGCTAGGGTTTAGGGTTCAGGGTTCCGGTTTTGGGCTTAGGATGGGTTAGGGTTTAAAAGGTGTACGGTTTAGTGTGAGTTGCTTAGAAAACTTCCGCCTTGGTCCATGGAAGGTCCGGGAGATGGCGGCTGGTCGCCTCGATAGGCGCGTCGCAGCGGAAGGCCCAGTTGTGGCCAGCGTTCACTGGCACACCCTCCTCGTGAGGGTTTCAACGCTCAAGAGGTTCAGGACGGAAGACAAATCAGACCAGTTCCCCAAACTTGCCCTAAGCCCTACACTGCACTACACCATATGTCTTATGTAAGACGAATGAAATTTAAATCCAAAGCTGGCCTTAAACCCTACATCTTGTTTGTGACATATTCAGAACTTTGCTTTAAACAACCTAACGCCTACATTCCATTTGACTTATTACGACAAGTCAGCCACTTGATTTGCTTTGCATCCTCTGAGGTTCTATTTGTGAAGCTACGCTCAAGTGGGACCTCTGCAGTGGCATCGGGTGGCGCCCAAGCTTTGCACGGTATCGCAACAGAGACACTCGCAGTGATGGCAAAAAACACGTATCCCGTCATCCCCTCTCTCCGTAATCCAAGTGATTGCGGTGTTCCCAAAGTTTTGTTTGGGTGTTGTGTCTTGGCTCCGAAAGTGTGCCGCTATGTGAGTCTGGGAAGTGGGAGCTGTCATAAACGAAACGACCTTCCTGTGCATGCTACTACATCGCAATAAGCAACAGCCCTGCCATCACGATCAGGGCAGCCCCATAGAGAGAACTCCTTGTCCACATAGTCGATGATGTCCTGCCAGCTGAAGTTCGCCATAGGGTTCAGCGTGCCTGGGACGGTGCTCCCGAAGTCTCTGCGCTGAGCCCAAGAATCATCCCTGGCCCTTCCCTGCCCCTGCCCTACACTGCCTCAACACACCCAGCTGCGATCGAGGTGCGCTTCTGCTCCTCCCAGACATCCAGCTTGATGCGCTGGGCCGCCTGATCCATGCGGCGGCCGGTAATCAAGATGTCCTTCTCACACTCCTCACGCGGAAACACCGGAGAATGGAGCCCCAGACCCTTTCCCCCTAAACGCCTTCTTAAGACTTGCAGGATGTTCATCTCAGGGCACAGCCGTCACCTGCAAGGTTTGTCTTCTCTCTTCGGGCAGGCACTGCGACACTCGAGGATCAAGGCGTGTACTTGTGGCTCGAAAGCTCTTTTCAGGGTTTCAGAACGCTGGAAAGGGTTTAAGGCTTCATAGGCTCGTATAGGATTTAATCGGGTTAGTGCAGGAACCCGAAACCAAGACACAGATGAACGTGAGTGCCGACGTGCCGACGTCCTCCAAAGCGCGCTGGAAAGGCTCCACCTCGGCGCTTTCTGGGTTCTTGAATTAGGACTGGGGCTTCGGCTACGGGTTTGGATTCCGGAAGCGAAGCACCCAGATAAAGTGCAGGCGCATACCTCTACAAAGCTCTAAGACAAGGAGGAGGTTTAAAAGCTCGTGCCTGCAGGCTAATGAGGCACCCCCAAACCAGTTCCTGATTCAAGAAGCACCGGATGACTCTCTACGGATCTGACGGTACGGGACAGGACTTATATGCCCCAAAATCCCAACAAATTGCAGCCCGAAGATTTCAATTTCGAGGCGGCGGGCAAGAAGCCATCTACCCGACATTCTAGGACCCAAAACCGAAAACTTCAAAAGCCAGAAGACCCTGTAGCAGCCCCAAACCATCCCTCCTTGGACTCCACGCAACTCGCAGCCCCCGAACAAAAATTATGTTTCGGGTTTAAAGGCTTATAGCACGCTTTACACAATCTTACAGGGACCATTGTTGAGATCCCGGTCCCCTGTCGCCCGTGGTGTGGCCTTGCTCACAAAGTCGAAGTCGGCCGAGTCCAACTCTTCACAGTCGCCGTACTTGGCAATGAACTCATCCTCCGGAACTCCGATTTTTCGGTGATAAGTCCCTTGCCTACCTAGGCAGAAGAAAGTCGGAACATCTTGAGTCGGAGGAATGGAAACTGCATTTTTCCAATTTGAAGGCTTTACAGTATGTTCTTTACCTCCTGAGTTTCATCGAGATTGATTGAGTACTCGGAGCTTTCTGCAAAGCTGAAATAGGCTTGGGGCTCCTGGGTGGATTGTAGACACAGCTCCATAGGTAAGACACATAGAAGATGTGGGCTTTAGGTTCGGCAGGCGTGAACTGTCGTCCTTCGTCGTGATTCCCTTCGGCATCTTCCACATGGCCTGCGCAGCACAAAAACTGAAGGGGCTGCAAGACTTGTCAGCTAAACGACTGATGCGTTTGTTTTTGTCCGAGAACAGCCCCCATCCAATTCACAAACCTGCTCACGAAAACCCCCAACAATGCCTAACACCCTAAACCCTAACCAACGCCCTAAAACCCCAGCCCCTCAACCCTAAAGCCCTGAACCCAAACCCCCGAAACCTCGCATTCTCGTTTGAGTCAAACAGCCCTGGCCGGGCGTTCTTGCTCCAAGCAGCGCAGAATGACAAAAACACATCCAGAGTCCTTATCTTCATACATCTTGCTATTGCTGTTCTTCGCTCTCATTATTCTTAGAAGGCGCCATTTTGGGAGGGGCCTTCTTGGCATACTTCTCCTCAACCAGCTTGGCACACTCCAGAGTAGTCGGGAAGAGGTGCAGCGTGTCAATGGCAACGAGATTCATCCCAGTCAAAACCTCCTTGGGTTGTGGTAGCCATTGCATGATGAACTCGGCACCCTACAGGCATCGTCATCCTCAACGACTCAACGAGTATGTTTGGTGTCGAGGTGTGGCGAGCTTTCGGGGGTCAATGCGTGCAACTGGGGAATTGAAGCGGGGATGCAAGTTCACAGGAGTGGCTTTCAGAGCAGATAACCACTCAACCCGAATGATGGCACAACGGATTTGAGGTTGTCGTTTCTACATATGCAATTCATCGGCGGAGAGAGAGAGAAAGAGAGAGAGAGAGAGAGATATATATATATATAACTATATATAGATAGATAGAGAGAGCGAGAGAG